TAAAATTCATAAATATTCCTATACAAGAAAACCGAGTCTTTTCTACTAGCGAAGGAAAGTCGTCGGAACCGGGTTTCATAGGGTGGATACGTTTAGAGGGAAGACACTTGGATTCCTCTAGCGAGTAACCTCAAGTCGTTGAAGTTACAACCGGGAACCGATTCCCTCATCCATCATCAATAGTGAAGGAGTTCAAGACATTCGGTAAATATTTTTACTAGTATTTACTTTACAGTCAAATCAAAATTTGTATATGATGCATGTTTTAAAGATGACGATCAGTTAATTCGCAATTAGTATGTACGGGTGTTGTATTTATACGATAAATACTTACTTTAAAAATTTTAAATTCCGCTGCGTACAGCCCGTACGGTACTAGCGAACCCAACACTATGAAAGTCATATTATTTACGCGTGCATCGCACGGGACACACACTAGTTTCTAGGCATTGTATTTCGATTATATATTGGTAGGGTAGTAATTTATGTGTTAGGGAGGGTCAAAATTGTCCAAAAAAGATATAAATGAGGGTAAATTGGACTTTACCAAGGTTGAGACTGGTGTAATCCCACCAAAAAGGGGGATGGACTTATCCCGATTTCATGGGATAAAGCAATTTTTATCCCAGGCCGTGCAGTCCATCCAGGGCTGGAATCCTAGCAACCAAACATGGGATTAAATCAGGATAAGACGGGATATCCTGCCTAATCAAAGAAAGCAGGGGCTCTGAGTACTGTATTAGTATCAACACATACCTTTTTATGAGTAGATTCCCCAAATTCTTCAAAAATCTAAACCAGGTTATAATCCTAAATGTTAATAAGGGTTTCTAACTTCTTTTTTCGTTTTCGATCGAATGTGGATCTCATGTTTTTGTTGTTCTTGTGTTTTCTTTTTAACAGATTGTGTGATTTTCGGGGGAGGAGAACAGTAGGAAATGTTGACAAAGTTTGAGACGAAGAGTAATCGAGTGAAAGCGTTGAGTTTCCATAGCAAGAGGCCATGGATCCTGGTGAGTCTTCACAGTGGCGTGATCCAGCTCTGGGATTACCGCATGGGCACTCTCATTGATCGGTTTGAAGAGCATGATGGGCCCGTTCGAGGCGTTCAGTTTCATAAATCGCAGCCGCTTTTTGTATCCAGAGGTGTGGTTTATTTGTTGAATGCTCCTCAAATTTGTTCATTTTTGTTTCTTTGGTATTAGATTGACCTTCTTGCATTGTGATCTAGGCTTGTTTTTGGGTGATTAAAGTTCTCTGGTTTGTTTTAGAGTATGGATCTGATGGTTTGTGTTTGTTATTGATGGTTGGGTTTGATCGATAGTCTTCTTGGTTAGTGCCCCGAATATTTATTTACTATATATAGAGCTCGACTTTATTTCCATAAATAGACAGTTTCCTTATTTGATGCATTTAATTATTTTTATTTGCATTAAATCGAGTAATTGGTATTAAATCTAAGCCATGGAGGAATTGTTCGATTTTTAATTATTAAAGTATTAGTCCAAGTATCGGTTCTATTTTAAAAACCGAACCTTGGAATGATCGGAATTTTATTTAAGCTGACCAAAGCCGAGTAATTAATTTGTTTGAGTCTAATAATTTTCGCGCGAGTCTAATTATTTTAGCCGGCCATTTTAGTAAATCGAGCCCATGTTCGATTTAATTTCAGTCCATTTTAAAAATCGAGCTTATAGTCGATTTTTAAATCCGAGCCCTAATTATTTTAGTAAGTTGACCAACTAATTTAATAGTCCAAGTCCGGTTAATTTTATGAACCGAGCATTTAATTCCTTACTCAATATTTGATTTATTCGGGTCCAAATAGAATTACCTTACTAGCCCGATTGTAAGAAATTTTGTAGGCCCGATTATTTGAGCCCAATAAGACTACAAAACCCTAGTCTCCCTCTTGTGTATAAATAGCACACATATTCAATCCTCATTTCACACCAAACCATCACTCTACTATTCATCATCATCTCCATTTTTCAAGATTCATCACCATCTTCATCATTTCCGGTCGTCATTCCCGTTCTCCGATCACCGTCCGGCAAGCCTTCCATTTCCGGCGTCCCGCACGGCGAACGGTACCAGCAGCTCCGTCATCGTCTTCCAGCTCCGACCACCAGCTCGCTGCTCCTCTACGCACGGCGAGTTCACACCGGCGACCACCCGTTCATGCAGCCAGCTCCCGCCGCCGTCGCAGCTGCTTCGCGACGACCTTATTCCGGCGAGTTCACGCCGTTCGACGTCCGTTCGCAGTTCCCTCCGACCAGTCGAGCCCTCTCCTTCCCGTCCGACGGAACGCCGGAGTTGCAGCTCCGACCAGTCACAGCTCCCTCCCACCGGCGCGAGCTCTCTCTCCTCCGACCAGTCAAGCCGCCGCCACAGCTCCTCCAAGCCGGCAGCATCACGTTCACGCGCGACCACTGCCCAACTCGCCAGATCCGCCAACTCAGTGAGTCAACTCGCTCAGCTTTTGCAATTTGGATCTGCTGTTTGACAATGTAGTTCTGTTCATCACAAGTATATTTAACTGGGCTTGATGCTGTTGTGAAGTATGTATTGGAAGGCCATGATCGAGGCGTTGACTGGGCTTCTTTCCATCCGACTCTCCCTTTAATTGTTTCTGGAGCAGATGATCGTCAAGTTAATCTGGCGCATGAATGGTATGAATGTATTATTTTAGCAGCTAAGCACCATATTTACGAAATATTTTTCTTTTGGAAGAACTTATGTTGTCTAGCCACATGTTACGTGATAAGTCTGCATTTGGTATATTTAACTCTTTGTTACTGGAATGAAGATAACATTTTAAATGTTTAAGAAATGTCGGGCCACAATGAGTATGATCCGTTGGGTTTTGTACTAGATTCCTTAAAGTAATTTCTTTCTTATTAACTAATGCTGCGTTACATTTTCTCTCGAAGTTCCTTTTGTTCGTAACATGTTATACATTGTAATTTTTATGGGTCTTTTTTGGAAAATCACATAATTTTGTGTACTTGTGTTTGGATATTTAGTTGATATACCATCCATTTGATGAGAGACACTGAAAAAGGTTCTGGTTCTATTCTCAAGTTGGTTAATATGTGATTCTGTGCTTCTATTTCAAAGTTAGTGCTGATTCCAAATTTCCTTGGAACTGTTGGAATTTCCGTCTATCAAATACTACCTCCTATTCTTTTTAAATGTCATTTTGGTTTTATCAATTATTAACCAAAATAGTTGTTTTGGATCTTTTGTACATATTTTTCCATTATTATTCTCATTTAGTTAATAAATACACTACGTCTTTTCATATTCTCTTCATCTTTTTTTTAAAACATCCATCTCTATCTTCATTAATGAAGGTTATTATTGGCAAAAAAATTATTCTTAATTAGTGTGCAACTTTCCAAAACGACACTTATTATGAATAGGAGGGAGTACTTACATTGGACGTGATGTTGTCTATATATAGGTAATACAATTTGATGCCTAGTTCTGTGTTTATTACGCGTGTCAGATACGAAGGCTTGGGAGGTGGACACATTGAGAGGCCACATGAACAATGTGTCGTGTGTTCTATTCCATACAAGACAGGACATCATTGTCTCAAACTCAGAAAATAAGAGCATTCGAGTTTGGGAAGCGACGAAAAGAACCGACCTGCAAACATTCCATAGGGAGCACGACAGGTTCTGGATCCTTGTGGCTCATCCTGAGATGAACCTCTTGGCTGCCGGTCATGATAGTGGCATGATTGTTTTCAAGCTCGAGAGAGAGTGCCCTGCTTTTTCTGCTAGCGGTGATTCCCTTTTCTATGTCAAGGACAGGTTCCTCCGTGCATTTGAGTATTCTTCGTAGAAAGACACTCAGCTAATACCCATTCGCCGTCCTGGTTCTAATAGCTTGAATCAAGGGCCTTGAGCACTTTCCTACAGCCCTACAGAAAATGTTGTCTTGATCAAACGTTGATGGGGGATCGTACGAGCTCTACGTAATTCCTAATGATAGCTATGGTAGAGGCGACACAGTTCAGGATGCAGAAATAGGAATCGGGGGCTCGGTAGTGTTCATCGCTCGAAACAGGTTTGCTGTGCTTGAAAAACAAGCACCAACTATGTCCTTGTCAAGAACTTGACAAATGAAATTGTGAAAAAGACGATAAACCACTCTCGTGAAATTATTCAGCTCATGTTTCGGTACACCTTCAAAGTCGCCCTCCTCGTGATTAAAAATAGTTACAGAACCTAGTATTTTTTATTATTTTTTATTGAATTGAACAGGAAAGATGGGAAAAAACAAATAAATTAACAAGAAATGAAATACACAATAATATTAATCTTAATTAACCTGACGATGAAGAACAAGCAAGGGCTTCGTAAGCCGCCAAGTGTGAACATCTTCATAAAAAATCTGAGTCTTACTTCCTCAAGATGTCGCAAACCATACATACCAAGGCTCTTAGTCGAGCATTCATGATTTATTCCGTGTATGAGAAACATCTTAAAAAGGAAATCACTCGGGTAATTAGGAGTCTCATTCTGCTGAGTGATGTACTTTTGGCTGCACAACCGAAACAAACCATCAAAAAGAGCAAAACTAGTCTATGACAGAGTGTCGCAGTCTATGCCATCTATCGTCAAGTAATCGACTTGGTGCAGTGTCAAGCTATTGAACTCCCACACGTCATAATTGAAGCCATGTTTGTTGTTGTCTATTTCTATCAAGAGATAAATTGTGGAGTGTCTCAAAGCGATTAATAATTTGTTCAACCCAATGACCCCCACAGTACCAACACGTCAAATAACCCAATGACCCCCACAGTACCAACACGTCAAATAACCCAATGACCCCCACAGTACCAACACGACAATTTGACGTTATGGATACGTGAGACTCCCATTGTCTTAATTTTGTTCAGTAACATCACGACAATTCGACATTATGGATACATGAGACTCCCATTTTCTTAAATTTGTTGATTTAAATAATATGGAAGATGACAGATTCTTCCATCTTTTAAACTCAAACTTACGAACATCAAACTTGACCCTAACCGTTTCATTATGGATACATGAGACTCCCATTTTCTTAAATTTGTTGATTTAAAAAATATGGAAGATGACAGATTCTCCCATCTTTTAAACTCAAACTTACGAACATCAAACTTGACCCTAACCGTTTCAGTCATCCAATATGTTTCGATGTATAGATACTCGATTGTTGGGCTAGATATGAGTAAATCCTCTTGGAAATAGCGGTAATGCATGCATAAATCTCTCAGCAAAGGAAATTTACAAGATAAGTCACTCAAAAACGAGGTATTAATTCTCAGATGCCTCAGCTGCAGATGTCTTCGCTTTGGTTAGGAAGACTTATGGTAACATATACTGCAATTGACATTTTTTCGAGCAAGGGCAGCCCGAAAGTAAGCCAGAAATCACTTCGTCACTTTCTAGCTTAACGTAGCTTAAACTAAGAGATTTGAGTCTCTGAAATTATACCTTATGTTCGGGACAGGGCGATATTGCCCCCTCTCAGAGATAGTTTTACAAGGTCTTTGCATCCATACACCTCAGCCGGCACAACATAGCTGCAGAGGATTCACGAGTTTAAGGCTAAGACGAGTAACACACATTCTCAATGCTTTAATAATCATAGTTTCACATAAATAATTCAAAAAATCCACAAACTCTCAATCTTTAGGTTCGATTCTTTATACCTTTGAATAGTTTTGTCCGTAAACTCTAAAAAGTTATCATATTTTGAAAAGTTGGACGCATCAAAGTCCAAGCCTGGCTAACTCGCCCAAGCTTTGACTTTGATACGTCCAACTTTTCAAAATATGATAACTTCTTATAGTTTATGGTTAAGACTATTTAAAGGTATAAAGAATCGAACCTAAAGATTGAGGTTTCAGTCTAATAGTGAATTTTTTGAATTATTTATGTGAAACTATGAATATTAAAGCATTGGAAATAGGTATTACTCGTCTTAACTTAAACTTTGTGAATCCTCTGCATATTGCTCCTTGCGTTGGCTGAGGTGTATGAAAACAAAGACCTTGTGGAACTATCTATGAGAGGGAGAAAAAATCGCCCTTTATCCCGAGCATAAGGTACAATTTCAGAGGCTCAAATCCCTTAGTTTAAGCTGCGTCAAACTAGGAATTGACGAAGTGATTTCTGGCTTACTTTCGACTGCCCTTGCTCGAAAGACTGTCAATCGCAGTATATGTTACCATAAGTCTTCCTAACTTGCTAAAGTTAAGGCATCTGCAACTGAGACATCTAAGAATTAATACCTTGGTTTTGGGTGACTTATCTTGTAAATTTCATTTGCTGAGAGATTTATCCATGCTTTACTGCTATTGGGGATTTACTCATCTAGCCCAACAATCGAGTATCTATACATTGAAACATATTGGATGACTGACAGTAAGGGTCGAGTTTGATGTTCCAAGTATTCGTAAGTTTGATTTTAAAAGCTGGGAGAATCTGCCTTGTTTAAATCAACAAATTTAAGACAAGGGGAGTCTGATGTATTCATAATGTTGATTGTTCATCTCTTGATAGAAATAGACAACAACAAACATGGCTTCGTGTGGGAAATCAATGGCTTGACACTGCACCAAGTCGATAACTTGACGATAGATGGACTGGACTGCGACACTCCGTCTTGAACTAGTTTTGCTCTTTTTGATGGTTTGTATCGGTTGTGCCGCCCAAAGTACATGAATCAGCACAATGAGACTGCTAATTACCTGAGTGATTTCCTTTTTAAGATGTTTTTCATACACTGATTAAATCACGAATGCTCGGACCCTTGGTATGTATGGTTTGCGGCATCTTGTGGAAGTAAGAGCTCAGATTTTTGATGAAGATGTTCACACTTGGTGGCTTATTCCGTTGGATGCTTTAAAGGACCAGAACAAATTTCGGTTCCAGTTGATGTGGAGAGATGAAAGCCAACAGGTTAATTAAGATTATTGTTATTGTGCCATTCATTGATCTTGTTAATTTATTTGTTTTTTTTTCCCATCTTTCCTATTCAATTCAATAAAAAAAACTAGGTTCTGTAATTATTTTCGATCACGAGGGGGGCGACTTGAAGGTGTACCGAAACATGAGTTGGATAATTTCATGAGGATGGTTTTGTGCGGGCAAGCCATGATTGCTTATCTGCAGCAGAAAGGTTTTCCTCAGGTCGCCATCTATTTTGTCAAGGACGAACGGACCTGCTTCAACCTCGCCCTCGAGAGTGGCAACATCGAGAAAGCACTTGAATCTGCCAAGAGAATAGACAAGAAGGACCATTGGTACAGGCTGGGCGTGGAGGCCCTCCGCCAGGAGAACACCGGCATAGTTGTGTGCGCATACCAGAAGACCAAAAACTTTGAGCGCCTTTCCTTCCACTGCCTCATAACTGGAAATTCAGACAAGCTCTCCAAGATGATGAAGATTGCTGAGGTGAAGAACGATGTAATGGGCCAGTTTCACGATGCATTGTATCTCGGAGACTTGCCCGTTAGCCAGATCTGGGTTCAGCATTCGTCCATGCGCCTGCTGAGCCGCCAGCTGGGCATCACGAATTTCGCCCCTTTGAAATCGCAATTTGTCGACCTATACTCAGGTAGCCACACCTATCTACGTGCTTTCAGCCTCTCGCTCGCGATCGAGAGAGGCTGGAGCAAGTCGGCAAGTCCGAACGTCCTCCGGCCCTCATCTTCAATTTCTCGCAGCTCGAGAAACTCAAAGCTGGGTACAAGGCCACGACAGCTGGGAAATTCTCTGAGGCCCTGTGGAACTTCCTCTCCATCCACACGATACCGCTGATAGTGGTCGATACTCGTAGGGAGGTAGATGAGGTGAAGGAGTTGATTGTGATTGTGAGAGTATGTTCTGTTGGGCTCAGATGCGCAAATGCGGAAGGTGTAAATTAAAACACCAACGTGAAATAGTGAAAAAAAAAAAAAAAATCTCTTGCAATCAAGTAGGAATAATTCTTTTCTGATGTGGAAGATCAGATTAAACTGCAACCACAGAGCATACTAAGAATATCCCAAATAAATAAAATATGCAAGAAATAATATACCAAGATTTAACGTGGAAAAACCTCCAAAGTAGAGGAAAAAACCACGGGACAACCTCCGAACAATTCCACTATATTTTCAAGATAATTACAATATCTTTTCACACTCCCCTATACTAGAAATGTAAAATATAGTGTCCCAGTGAGACCCCACTCCTATTCAAATATTACAAACAAGGAGTAATAGAGATGATACCCGACCCGGTGTATTTTTCCCACACCCAAAGGATTTACTCAAACACTCTATTTTTCTCTCACTGAAAAATAACACTCACAAGAAATATTATTCTTGTTATCTTGCTCTCTCTTTTTCTCTCTTTTTTCTTTTGCTTGGTACATTTCCATCTGCTGAAACCCCCTCTATTTATAGAGGGGAAATGCCATGTGAACAAAGAAAAAAAACCGGCTGCACCTTCCTCAATTTTTCTTCATTGTAGGCGTGTGACAATTTTTCTTCTTTCCATAATGGTGGCTAAGCCCACCAATTTTGACTTTTCCTTTTGATGCTGGATACTACAATTCTCCCCCTCCAGCCAAAAGGAAATATACTGCAGATCTTTACATGCATTCCATGCCGATTAATTCGGCACAATGTTGAAGCTTTCCTCCTGTTACAACTTTCGTCATCATGTCAGCAGGGTTTTCGTCAGTGTGAATCTTTTCCAACTTGAACTGTTGTTCTTCCACTGCTTGACGTAGCCAATGATATCTGACATCAATGTGCTTCGTGCGAGAGTGGTACATCGCATTCTTACTTAAATCCAATGCGCTCTGACTATCGCAATGGATATCGTACCTTTCCTGCTTCATTCCCAATTGTTGAAGAAACCTCTTCAACCAAAGCATTTCTTTTCCTGCTTCTGTCAGTGCAATATACTCGGCTTCAGTAGTCGACAAGGCAACAGATTTCTGCAATTTAGATTGCCAAGATACAGCTCCTCCTGCAAATGTAAACACAAGCCCTGTAGTAGATTTTCTACTATCCAGGTCACCTGCCATATCCGCATCTGTATAACCCTCAAGAACTGGGTTTCCTTTGCCGAAGCTCAAGCACTTATTTGCACTACCTTTTAAGTACCTCAAGATCCACTTCACAGCTTCCCAATGTTCCTTCCCTGGATTGGAAAGGTACCTGCTAACAACTCCAACCGCGTGAGCGATATCTGGTCTAGTACAAACCATGGCATACATCAAACTCCCGACTGCCGAGGAGTATGGAACACCCGCCATAACTTCTTTTCCTTCTTGACTCGTAGGACAACTTCGTTTGCTGAGTTTGAAGTGATTGGCCAACGGTGTATTTACCGGCTTAGCTGATTTCATGTTGAATCTCTCCAGAATCCGATTCACATACCGTTCTTGCGATAACCATAACATCTTGGATTTTCGGTCTCGCATGATCTGCATGCCCAAAATTTGTTTCGCAGGGCCTAGATCCTTCATATCAAAGGACTTTGCTAAATCCTTCTTCAAATCACCAATCAGCTTCATATCCTGTCCCACTATCAACATATCATCTACATATAACAAAAGGATAATGAATTTATCACCTGGAAATTTCTTAACAAACACACAATGATCTGCATCAGTCTTGGTATATTCATGGCTCGCCATAAACGAGTCAAATTTCTTATACCACTGTCTTGGAGCTTGTTTCAGTCCATACAAACTCTTCTTCAATCTGCAAACCATGTGCTCCTTTCCATTCTTCTCAAATCCTTCTGGTTGCTCCATGTAGATTTCTTCATCTAGGTCTCCATGAAGAAATGCAGTCTTCACATCTAGTTGTTCAAGCTCCAGATCCAAGCTAGCTACCAATCCGAGTATTACTCGAATAGAGCTCATCTTTACAACCGGTGAGAAGATTTCATCGAAATCTATCCCTCGCTTTTGTCCAAATCCTTTCACGACTAAGCGAGCCTTGTACTTCAACAGCTTGTCACCATCTTTCTTAAGCTTGAACACCCATTTGTTTTTCAAGGCTTTTCTGCCTTCCGGAAGCTTCACAAGCTCATAAGTTTCATTTTTCACCAGTGAATCCATTTCTTCTTGCATAGCTTTCATCCACTGGGATTTATCCTTATGAGTTTGTACTTCTCCAAAGCTTTCTGGCTCCCCTTCTTCCGTGATGGTAATATACGTGGAACTAGGGTACCTCGTAGATGGTTGGATCGCTCGATTTGATCTCCTGAGCTGAGGCGGAGCTTCGAGGTCTTCTTGCTCGACACCTTCACCATCACCATCTTCTATTGCTGGTTCATCATCAACCCTGAGTTCTCCATCACACTCTCCCCCTACTGTGGCATCTCTAGGAGGTTCTACAGGTGTAAGATCCACCTTACCACCTGGTTCTCTGATTTCTGGTGAAGCAGAATCAGACATAGTTTCTTGCTCATGGAATACTACATCTCTACTTCTGACAATTTTTCGTTTTTCTGGATCCCATAACCTGTAGCCAAATTCCTCATCTCCATAGCCCAGAAATATACAAGGAATGGCTCTATCATCAAGTTTTCGTCTCTGTTCCTTGCTTACGTGAGCAAAAGCTTTGCATCCAAACACCTTCAAATGAGAGTATTTAACATCATGTCCGGACCATACTCTCTCAGGGATATCAAAGCCCAAAGGAACAGATGGAGATCGGTTGATCAGGTAGCACGCCGTTAGAACAGCTTCACCCCAGAATGGCTTAGGTAGCTTAGCCATTCTTAACATACACCTCACTTTCTCCATAATGGTTCTATTGATTCTTTCAGCCACACCATTATGCTGTGGGGTTCCAGGTACAGTCTTCTCATGCCTGATTCCATGATCAGCACAATAATTCTTGAATTCATGGGAAGTATATTCCCCTCCATTATCTGAGCGAAGACACTTCAAAGGTTTACCAGTTTGTCTCTCCACCATAGCGTGAAACCTTTTGAAGTACTGAAAAACTTCGTCCTTCGTTCTCAAGAAATACACCCACAATTTTCGTGAAGCATCATCAATAAACGTCACGAAATATTTGCTACCACCGAGACTCTCCTCTTCCATGGGTCCACATACATCAGAATATACCATCTCCAACACATTCTCTTTCAGCTTCGAGGTTTTGCTGAAAGACACTCTATGATGCTTCCCAAAGAGACAATGATCACAAGGATTTAGTTTTGAATCTTTGGCAAACGGGATGAGGGACTTTCTTGCCAAAATTTGCAATCCTTTTTCACCAATGTGAGCCAGTCTTTTGTGCCACAAATTTGGCGAAGCATCATCTTCGACTGCATTCAGGCCACCTTTGATCAGCTTCACTTGAGTTCTGTACAGTGTCGATCTCACTGTACCTCTAGCAGCTAACAATGATCCTTTGGTAAGCCTCCATGTGCCGCTACCAAAATTATTAGTGTAGCCTGCTAGATCCAATGCATGGAGATCAGATTCAGCCGTAAGTCAGGTACATGTCGCACGTCCTTCAGTGTTATTGTGCACCCAATATCACTTTGAATGCACACATCACCAACTCCCACAATATTTGCAATGCTGTCGTTGCCCATCTTTACTCTACCAAAGTCTCCTTCTTTGTATAGAGAAAAGAATTCCTTGTGAGAGGTTGCATGGTATGATGCTGCTGAGTCAATGACCCATTCAACACATGAATCTGCAACATGGCACTCTTCTTACTTCAACAGAGAGCAACACCACTTCCCCATTGATCACAGGGGTTGCGGTATTTTCATCGTTCTCTGATTTGTTGTTCCTCCGATCTCTATTCTTCCAGGCTTTACAGTTTCTTTTGATATGCCCTTCTTCACCGCAGTGATAACACTTGAATTTTCTCCTGGGTTGAGATTGTGATTTCTCTCTGAATTTGTTATTCCGGCCTCTGCTTTTACTTCTCCCCCTGGTTTCTGTGACCAGGGCTTGGGAGCTGCTTGCCCCAGAATCTTTTCTTCTTGTTTCTTCATTAAACATACTGTCTTTGACTTGGGTCAAAGTCAGTTTTCCTTCAGGAGCAGAGTTGCTCAATGAGACCACCAGAGTCTCCCAACTATCCGGTAAAGAACTCAAAAGTATCATCTCCATGGTAACAAGTTGGTTCACCATGTCTTGAAATTCATTCAGGTGTTCTGCAACTGATCTTCCATCCCGATATTTTAAATTCACAAGCTTTCTAATAATGAAAGCTTTATTTTGTGCAGTCTTCCTTTGATACATCTGCTCGATTTTGTTCCACAGAGTATGGGCTTTTGACTCTGTGGCAACATGGTGGAATATGCTGATATCCACCCACTGTCTGATTAAACTAACAGCCTTCCTGTGTAACTTTTTCCAATCGTCATCCTTCACGTCATCTGGCTTGTTATCTCCCTTTTCTACAGGATCATACAGATCTTTGTAGAAAAGTATGTCCTCCATTTTTGGCTTCCAAATGGAGTAATTTGTTGCTGTCAGTTTCACCATGGTACCCACGTTCTCCTCCATTTAATTTACACGGTTGATTCAGAGCCCAACTTGAGCTCTGATACCACTTGTTGGGCTCAGATGCGCAAATGCGGAAGGTGTAAATTAAAACACCAACGTGAAATAGTGAAAAAAAAAAATCTCTTGCAATCAAGTAGGAATAATTCTTTTCTGATGTGGAAGATCAGATTAAACTGCAACCACAGAGCATACTAAGAATATCCCAAATAAATAAAATATGCAAGAAATAATATACCAAGATTTAACGTGGAAAAACCTCCAAAGTAGAGGAAAAAACCACGGGACAACCTCCGAACAATTCCACTATATTTTCAAGATAATTACAATATCTTTTCACACTCCCTTCACTAGAAATGTAAAATATAGTGTCCCAGTGAGACCCCACTCCTAAACAAATATTACAAACAAGGAGTAATAGAGATGATACCCGACCCGGTGTATTTTTTCCACACTCACAGGATTTACTCAAACACTCTATTTTTCTCTCACTGAAAAATACACACAAGAATACTAATCTTTCTTCTTGCTTTTTTTTTCTTTCTCTCGTTGATGCATTTTTCAGCATTGCAAATGCTGCTATTTATAGCAGAAAGATTGTACAATCTGACAAAAATTGCAGCTCACAATTATCAGCAATGACAAACTCATTTCATTAAAAAATTCCTAATCCATTTAGTAGTTGTAAGATTCTTTCTTTCACATGGCTGGACCTACATGTTCTTGGTTTGCAGATGGAACTCAGGAGAAGGGATTGAAGGACAATCCGGTTCGTCAGCAGGAGCTAGCAGCTTACTTCACGCACTGCAACCTCCAGCTTCCACACATAAGACTCGCGTTAGTGAATGCCATGATCGTATGTTTTAAAGCACAGAATTTGAGTACAGCTGCAAATTTCGCTAGGAGGCTCCTGGAGACGAACCCGATCGTTGAGAGCCATGCGAGGACTGCTCGTCAGGTGCTCCAGGCAGCTGAGAGGAACATGAAGGATGCAACAGAGTTGAATTATGACTTCAGGAACCCGTTTGTGGTGTGTGAGGCCACATACGTACCAATCTACAAAGGGCAAAAGGATGTGTCGTGCCCTTATTGTGGGACCCACTTTGTTCCAGTGCAGCAGGGGGAGGTGTGTGCGGTTTGCCAACTCTCGGTGATTGGGTCAGATGCATCGGGCTTGCTGTGTTCTTCTTCGCAGGTCAGGTGATTGGGATTGGTTGATGTGAAATTTTGGTTTTTGATTTTGTGAAAAATTTCCAAGGAAGAGGTAAGAATTCTCGGAAGTTAATAGTTATTGTGTTATAACTGTTCTGTACGTGTTTGCTATTTTTGGTTCTGTGATTTACAATTTTCTTGGTAATAATCGTGTGAGATTTTTCACTTATATCTTTCTTATGCCGTATGGAGATTTGGTGTGTCTAGCTAAATTCAGCGACTATATTTGCCTGCCTGTTATTATTTTTAGGAGTGGTGTAGGTTCTTTGATGTCCTTT